AACATGGACTCCGAACATGGAAATGCGGCTTCATGCTGTTTGTATGTGGGAATGACTTTGGGAGACAGGTGGAAGAGCTACAGACTAGAGAATGGTCAGACAAACAGCAGCTGAGTCTGCAGAAGGAAATATAGGTGTGGCAAATGTCTCAGAAGGGGCCCTTCCTAGTTTCTTGGACTGTAAATGTGAGGGGTGAGAGATGTCCTTTCAGAATTGAAAGATGCTGTGAATGTAACCTTATAATGAAGTTAGAAGGAGTACTTCTGGGTGTGCTTCTTGTCTGGACCACCTGTCGAGGCTGACACTTATAGACAAGAGTTAAAAATGGAAGATGCACATACACTCTTGGTTTTATTGAGGACCTAATTGTACCTGCAGAGGACAAAAGAGACAGGTGGGAGGGAGGGAGCAACTTAAGTGAAGATAGAGAGGTAAAGCATCTTGGAGATATTAGTCACTATCTTGGAAATGAAATTTAAAAAGGACAAATGTAGTGGCTTCTTTTCTACTCAAAACCAAAATATAATAGAGCAAAAAAGTTTCTCAGGGAGGCAAAGGAGTCAAGAGGCAAAGGAAACCAATTCAAGTTGGCAAGTAATGAACAGTATTGGACAGCTGTGGGATAGCTATAGCACATCCCAACTGTGAGTTGACCTGACACAACTAATGCACTTGATCTGCTAAGTGGAAAGATTGGTGAGCCAGCGCAAGACTGGACAGCAGTAAAAAGGCTGGGCACATACTTAAAAAGAACTAGAGACTTTAATGCACCACTGCCTGTAACTAATAACCGCAAACTACAGGGTTCTATTCTTCTATGGAGGCATGCCGATCATCTTGTGCAAGAAGAAAGAAAACACTGTAGTCCTGTCTTCTTCTGGCAGGAATTTGGCTTTGTGAGATGAACCTGCTCTGCGCTGCATGGGAAAGTTTAGCTACGGTGCCACGTCTTTTGGTTTAATATTTAATTGTACCTAGATGTGGTTTTATTTCTTGCTTGTGAGCTGCCCAGAGTTTGGTACAAGATGGGTGGCTAGATAATTGCTTTAAATAAACAAACAAGCTTGCACGGCTGTATGAACTACTAGACCTGAAACTAAAAGAACTCATTCCAACCATGTGATTTGAAGCCAACTCGGGATGTATAAGAACTGCAAACCAAAGCAGTCCAGACCCAACGTGAACCGCCTAGTCCAATTCAGAAAATCTGCTAGAATGACTGTTAATTTGGACATCCACAGCTTGGACATTTCAGTTAATTCAAGATGCAGCAGCTAGATTGGTCTCTCAGGCTGTTAAAAGAGACTATATTATGTTTGTTCTTAAGCAGCTGCCCAGTTGGCCTGTATGCTTCTGGGTGAAATGTAAAATACTGAGGCAATTCCCTTTTTTGTGTGTTACCTCTATGTTCATTAAAATAGTCAGAAGAGTCTCATCTTTGGGTGTCACCTAGACATCTGACAACAACTTGGGAACAAGCCTTCTGATGTTGTTATCCCTAAATTCAGGAAGAGGTTTCTTGTAGATTTCCTTGATGGACCGATGAGATTTAGAAGGCCCTAATTCCAAAATAGCTCTGGGCAACTTACATTAGAAATAGAAAACAACAGAAAATAAAGGTCTAGCTTCTTTTGAGGCCTTTGAAAGAATCATAAAACTCCATATTTTCAGCCTGGTTTTTAATAAAACTAATTTATTAGTTTTGAATGGTTTTAATCTGAGTTTTATTATGATTTTAACTGTTTTGTTTAATGCTTAAGGCTTTCATTTTTAATGCAATCCACCATGAAGAACTATTTATGAAAAAAAGGAATTATAAACTGCAAAAAATGTTGCCATATAGCCTCACTGCCTAACAGGTGTACTTCTTGGGATCTTCCCCTATCCTAATGTAATGAGTGAATTTCTTTATTATGATCTACAACCAGAAAGTCTCAGAAAAACAGTCTCTACAACTGGAAAATCAAAAGCTAACAATGTGGGAATGAAACAGGAGAGAAACTGACAATAAACGAATAGAACTAAGACAAAGTAGTCAAATCTCAACAATATTCAAACCTTGACATACAATAAAACAGAATTCTGCAACATTTAAAGAGATTATGTCATTCTGTTCAGATTATAAATACTGAAGGTAAAAGGAAAGGAGTGGTGCGGCTGTTGTGACTCCATTCTCATGTGAAGTTGGCAATTCCCAGGAGTGAAAGTACTTTATCTCCTTCTTGTTCTATTATTATTCTATATATTCAAAACAAAATAGACAGACAGACTAAAAATAAATTCAAAACAGGTCTTTATTGCTAAATCTGTTTTTGGATTACAACACATATAAATAGCACACATTTAGTACCAATGAAATAAATAGTATGGCTTATACCAGTGTTTTTCAAACTTGGCAACTTTAAGATGTGTGGACTTTAACTACCTGGGGAATTCTGGGAGTTGAAGTCCACACATTTCCAACGTTGCCAAGTTTGAAAAACACTTGCTTATACTCTTAGAAACGTTGCAAGAAAACAATCATGAAAATGAAAATTAGTAATACCAATTTAATGCTCACAGAATTGACTGTTCTCATTTCATCAACCATCAAACCTCAACCACAGGATTTAATGCAATCTATTCTTTGCATAAACTTGCCAGATGCTGTAATCATGAGGTTACCTGAACTGTAAATGGAGTTACATTTACCACAATGTATTGACCCCACAGGTTGGAGCTTTTCCAACAAGGTCTGCAGTGTAATGATCTAGGAGTCCTTTTTTAATGTGTGTTCTATGTTGAGGAACTTTAATCTTCTTGCTATGTCCAATGGAGTCTCTTCATCCTGAAATAAAGAGATAAAATAAACAAAGGTGAAAATAACTAATGAGGGAAAGACCAACGTATGTAAAATCCAACTTGGTCAACTTTAGATTTTTGAAAGAATACTATTGTCAAGAAGACAGATATTTCACTGGAACCTGTGCAGGATGGTTTCATTTTAGACTGTACCCAGTCATGGCTTTTGAACCAAGTTTTACAAGTTCTGGGAGGAAGTAGAGTTATATCTACTGTACATAATTGTGTTAATCTACCACTGGAACTTTCCTCAATTTGCTTCAAAGGTCTGATGAATCTCTCCAAGTGCAAATTTCAGAATCTCACAGAAACCTTTATTTGAAAAATCTTGGAAATAGTCCAGATAGTCTGAAATCAGTGGCAAATGGTAGTTCACTTAGGATCATTGCTTGAAGCTAATCTCTTCAGTGCTAGGTCAGAATAAAAGAATTTTGACCAAACAGTGAGTGATGGTCTCTACTGGTATGATAAAAAATGACCATGCCTTATCACAGATGAATAAAGCTTCTTTTATAATGATGGACTTTCACACAGGGGAAACAATTGAATATTATTTTATGATATTTTATTTGTGTGTGTGTGTGTGTAAAATATTAGTTAATTCTGCTAAGCCACTGCTAAGCAATATTATTCTCCTTATGGGAAATTTAAAATTCTCTATGACAGGCATAAATAGCTAGGGTTGCTAACTTTAGCCATTATGGCAAAAGATTCTGAGTGTTCTAGACAAAAAGCTTCAGTGGGATTACTACATTGCCTACACCCGATCTACAGTAAGGAGATAACTTTAAATTTTAAAATATTAATGGATATTGAATATGTATAGCTAGTTTTAATCCCTTTTTTAATCATTTCTTTTCTCTTTTTTGCTTGTTTTTTCTTGTTACTATGCATGTTGCCTTTTCCACATGCCTTTAAACATCAGCAGTTTCTGGGCAACCTAACCTGGATCAAAATCTCCAAATGTGATTATTTGCAACGGAAGAGAAAAATCTTGGAAAATGGCAGGAAAGAATCTCGCTCATTTATTTCTTTCCTAAAATGAGATTAGATTCCTTGTCATAATAGAGGGATTCTCCAAATCACAGGATGAGCCAGAAATCAAAATTATAACAAGACTAGGTTTGAATTTCCATACCTTGTCCTTTATGGAAAGGTCAGCACCCGCTTCAGCTAGTAATGGAATGATGGACTGGTTCTTCATTTCACAAGCATAGTGGAGGGCAGTCCGTCCTGACTGGAGAAAACCATAATACATATCCTTCAGGAATAAGTTGCATTCTTACCCTAATATGCTTCTCACTAAGCACAAAATTTAAAAAGACCACTGTAAACTCTTTCATACAAGCTCTTGAATTATCATCTATTTATACCCTTGGTCTATGGTTTCATCCACCTCTAGATTAACTATTGATTTATTGCTGGTATATCTATGCTATTCTACTCCAAAATGGCTCCAAGCACTGTACAACAAAATAGAAGTTAAAAATATCAGAACAAATTAGTGACAATTAATACATATTACAGAATATATGCAGTCTACTTTGGCTCGCCAGAGTGAAAATAGAATTAAGCATCTTCTTTGAATTATATGGTAAATTGTAACCAAGGATGAATTCACATGGCCTGCGAACTGTTTTTGAGTCAGTGAGTTAGTTCACTTTGTATTACTTTCTGCAACAGTTTCAGAAATACTCTGGAGTTCTCCTGTGTTCCTCGATTGCCTTGAGATTTGGAAACTCATCTTATTCCATCATGGTCCTGAAGCAAGTACAAGATTACTTGCTTCAGGACAGAAGAGACAGACTAAAAGGTCTAGTCCTATATTATTCCGTACATACATTAGCTCACTGAAATAAAAATAAGGTCTGATCCTGATTTGAACAACCTTTCTGTGCCTATTGTGTGGTCTTAATTAGTGAGTTGGGACAGGTGAAACCCCAAAGTTCTGGAGGAAATAAATGATATTTGTGCCAGAGACACTAGTATTTGATAAAGGGCTGAATTCTTCATGGCCTTTTCTGTTTGTTTTGTTTTTCGGTTTTAATGATGGACAAGCTATTGCATTTTTTTCAAGAATAATACCTGCAACCCAACTATATGGCCATGTAATAGGTTTCCTGGTGCATTTGGAAGACATCCTCTTCCTGCCTAATTGCTCTGGACAATATATGTTAAATTTAAATATGCAACAGTTAAAATATAAATCTAATAGCACTTCCACACAGCTATCAGCCTCATACCTCAAACCTTCTGCAGGAATTTTGCACTGCTGCATAAGCACCCTGATTGATGTTCTTCTTTCTGACACTGAGCCATTCAGTTGATAAGTAGAATAGCACAATAAATGGCGGCCAGCTAACATCCCATCTCACCCTCACTCTTCCCTTGCTGCTTTGCTTTGCTTGGTGAGGCAAAGCAAGCAAAAAACAACAGCTGAACAACGGGCATAGGGAATGGCAAAGTTGTGGAGAGTCAGGGAAAGGTGGCAAGAGGCTCTATTGCCTTTTCCCTCCTGGGAAAATCTCAGGAGCTGGGACAGGGTGGACATTTTCACTAGTGGGAGGTCAGCCATCTCACAGTTCCAGAGGAAATCCTGCCAGATTGCAGTAGGCTGGGGGAAGCCTGGGTTGTGAAAGGCTTTCCTCCTTCCATTAATCCCTGCTCCTTGAGTATAAGAACATCAGAACAGCCATAATGGATCTGGCTAAGACCATCTTAGCCAGTATTTTGTTCATGACAATGGCCAGTCAGAAGCCTTTGGGGTGCTTTTAAGCAGATGGAGACATACCCCTTTCTCATCAGCTTCTGCTGTGATAGTCTTTGGAAATGTGAGGGAATGTCCAGGGACATGGAGGAGGAAGCAAAACCGCTACAGGAAGGAATTGGAGCATTGTAGATAAGGTTCCTTGGGCCTCTCAGAGCTTGACTGGAGCCACGCTGCCCCAACCCGGAGGTAATATTTCAGCCTAAAACTATTTGACCTCGATAGATCTCATCTACTTTGGCTGGCTTGGTCCCACACAGGAGGAGCAAAGAAGCAATTGATCCCATCTTCTCTCCATATAAGGGAAAGAGTGCATTTCTTAAAACCACAGGAATAAAAATGGTCATGTGCTGCTTCGTCCTTCATGGGCCCTTAGGAAAAGGAAGAGATTTTCTGTATCACATCCACCTACCACCCCAACTGTGAAATAGTTCTAGAATATAGGAGTAGATGCACTTACATCATCTGTAGCATTAACATCTGCACCAGCTCTAAGTAGCATCTTGATGAGGTTTTCATTCTGCTTACTTTTAGATACCTGTTTCGCAGATTTTATGAGTAAGAAAGGAAGAACAGAAGATTATTGGAAAAATGGGTAACATCATCATACGAAGCAGTCAGCTAATAAAGACCTTTTCTTACA